CCAGGCTAGAGTGCAGTGTTGCAGTGCCATAATTACGGCTCACAACAACCTTAACTTCTTGGCCTCAGGCGATCCTCCTGCGTTATTTCTTTGCATCATCTGATGCAAGTCTATTCTAATCACTTTCCAGCCCAATAGAGAGAATCTGATTGTTTGGAGTTCATTTGGTTCAGCCTGACTCCCCAAATTACAGGTTGCTGGTCAGCCCATGAAATGGGCCCTTGTGACAGGTGACTAATCAGTTGTGACTAGAAAACCTTACAAGATATGTTGAGGATTTCACATAGGTAACTGTTAAGGCTTGTGCTGAAGTTTTGTAGAATGCCTTGGTAGCACTACGTAGGCAGCACACCTAGTCATTGGCTTACCCGGAGACCTGGAAACTTGAGCTGTGAAGAAAAGTGAAATTACCCTTTCAGAAGGGGAGTTAGAGAGGACGTCGTAGCCAAATGGAACAACATGTATGAAGACCCAGATGTTCACGTGTCCTTGGAACTACAAGTATTTGTATGCCTAGATTTTGGGGTGTGCTTATGTGATGAAGCAAGAACAGAAAGGTGCCTTCGAAGAAATTCAAGCTGTGGAGTGATGTTATGAAATTTGCAGTTTAGAAAGATCACTCTGGGTGCTTTTGTGTAAGACCATTAATAGGGGGTTAAGGTTGGATTCATTGTGATGGTTTAGGAGCCGTTGTAGAAATCCAGGTGAGAAATGGTGAGGGTCTGAATTAAAGTATTGATAATGAGAATGGTGAATGAATTAATGTGACATATTTTGAGAGGTACTGTCAGCAGGATTTGTTGAATAATTGGATGAGGGGGAAAGGTTAAGGATGATTTGTCAGTCAGGATAAGGCAGGGTTTTGGAAACAACTCCAACTCTCAGTAGTTTGACAAAGCAGATTATTTCTTACACTAGATTGGTGGGAGTGGGAACCTGCTTATTGTGGTCTCTCACTTTGGGTTGAAGCTGATAAATCAGCCACTCGTATTCTGAATGTTGCTGGTCACTGTGGCAGAGGAAAAGAACCAACAAATGACTCTTAACGCTTCTTCAGAATAGTGACACATGTCAGTTCTGTTCATATTTAATTGACCAAAGCAAATTACATGGCCACGCCTAACTTTTAGGAACAGAAAAATAGAATTTTATCATTTATGCAGAAGGAGCTTTGGAGATATTTAGTGGACAGCATTAATGGCCATCACACTAATGACTCCCAGATTTCAGATTTGGGTAATGAATGATGGCATCTTTCACTGAGATAGAATGTTTAGGACCAAGGGCAGGATTGGTAAGGAAGGAGGATGATGAATGTACTTTAATAGGACTTAATGAGTTAAGGGGTGGATGCTGGTGACCATCAAGGTGTAATATTCCAGCAGGCTCTTGGATCTGGGAGTCTAGAGCTCATGAGAAGCCTCAATTGGAGATTTGTTAATGTAAGTGTGGTGAGTTAAGTCTGGATGTGGATATATTTACCTCAGAAACAATGAAGTGCTTTGACTTAGATGTTTGGTGGGATGCAGAGGAATTTTTAGTGACAGTTGTGTGAATCCTGAATTTGGTGACCTTTGGCAGCAGTGAATTGAGTTGGGTGCAAAGAGGTAGTTTCTTTTTTTTTAACTTTAATTAGCCTTACTAATTATGTTAATAATATAGTAAATATATGTAGATTGGCAGAATGATTGTTCATGAGGATAGTATATTTTGGAGTCTAACAAGATGTATTCATATTAGGAAATGTTTTTTTAAAATTGTGCTGTGTATGGTTCCTTTTTACTGTAGGCCTGCCTGCATTGAATCAAGTCAGTAGAACTAGTTTGAGTCTGCTGTTTTGCATATAAAATGTGTAAGTTTTTGTTTGTAAAATCTTTTGTGTGGCAAATCACATTGTTTAGCTTGAGGCGGTCTGGTATATGCAAAAGACTTTAATTTTGATTCCAGGCTATTTCTAAGACTGTTGTGAAGTGTTTAGCCTCACATTTATGAAGGATTGGAGTGGTTACAAAATTTGAAGTCTTGAAGTTTGGGGCTTTTACAAAGGAATTTTACCTATTTATGATACACTGGTTGAACATTTTTGGGCTAAGTTAACTTTTCACATTTCACTCAGGAGTAAGGATTGATTAGTTTGAGTTCTATGTTTTACAAATAAGGCTGTAGACCTGCCTAGATTGCCTACTGTCTTGGCAGACAAATCTTAACTAAATGACCAAGTTTTGGTATTTCATGTCTTAATAATCCTGAGCAACAAACATTTCTTAAGACTTGATTATATAAGAAGTCACAATTATGTAAGATTATACAAAAATTAAGAAAGAAATTTTAAATGAAAATGACAAAACCAAGCAAATGTTTATTCATTAGTGCATTTGTTTTTCTTTTTTATCTTGCAGCAACGCACCTCTTGCTTTTTCCTCCAAAGTATGTTATGTTAAGTTTCGTGACCCATCAAGTGTTGGCGTGGCCCAGCATCTAACTAACACGGTTTTTATTGACAGAGCTCTGATAGTTGTTCCTTGTGCAGAAGGTTAGTATCTCACTCTTTTTGTGTGTGTGCTATTGTTTTAATTTCTGTCTTGTCTGTTACTGCCTTTGGCTTTCCTAGAAATTGGCAAGTAGGCAGTATTCTGAGGTGTGTGTATAAGTGGGTGTGAAAGAGAAAGCAAGAATGACATTTGTAAGAGGAAAATTTTTTTACTTAATAATAAATCATATTAAAATGGTAAATTTATGGCTTATGAATGGTTGAGATTTTGCAACTTAATACTAAGAGTTCATAAATTTATTTCGCTTCTCTGGTTTGCTTTGGCTTTCTGTATTTGCATATTGTAAAGCTTTCTGAAATTAAAAAAAATAGTTGATATGGGAAATTACTTAAAATGTATAAACAAGCATTTACTCAGTGTGTTCAATATTAATATATTACAAATAAAAACTGTACACATTTTGCCAAATTGGATTTAGGTGCTATTTATAAGAAAATACTTGTAATTTATGTTTTTTAAAGTACCCTCTTAAGGTAATTGACCTTAATTATTAACTGTTAGATTATTATTTTATATTCAGTGTAATAGTTTGTGAAGCAACTGGAATTTACTTTTTTCTTTTATTGACTTTTTGGGGAGATCTGGGGGAAAAAACCCCACAAATTTCTAAAGCCATAATCAAAGAAATAGTTGTTAAAGATAGAAACAAAGATCTTGTAGTTACTTATTAAATTTTATGACTTAAACTGCTTTATGAAGTAATTATTACTCGTAGTTTTTAGTAACTTCTATTTCCAGAGCCACTCACATATAATAGGCTGTGCTGAATTTTGACAGTGATGGTGTCTAAATAACTTTTATTTAGAATACTGACTGGCACATGTACATGGATTTTAGAGTTGGATTATTGTAAATTTAAATGTCCTGAGATAGATTTTTCTCTGGTAGATGATGGTAACTGTTTTACAACATAAAAGTTGACCAGAAACAATTTAATGGACTTTCATATATAATTTTTAAAACCTCTGCTTTTTTAGTGACAGGTTAACCAAAATAACTTAATGTATACTAAGAAGCTTACTACACTTTTTTGTGCTTATTTCAGGATGCCTGTTCTGGGAGGTCAAAAACATTACAGTCAAATACAGCGAGTACTGGGCTGGTATTTTTGAAGTCCCAGAACAGGACAGTCTGGATTTTTTTCAGATAAATTTGAAAGTGTCTTTCCCGTGCTTGGGGCTTAGAGTGGGTAGGGAAAGTACAAATAAGCTAAAGTTAATTATTTGCTAAATATTTCCTTATCTGCTGATCTATGTGGGTACAATGAGTCCAAATTGGAGGAGTGAGATGGGAAAGGAACTGGTTAATGGTTTAGTTCTACATACTTTGTACTGAAAGTTCATAACAAGAAATTACATGGGAAAAAAGAAATAGAAGGGTTATTACACTGGGATATTAATTATATCAGAAAATTGCACCATCAACAGTACAGGATCTTTAATAATTTTAATTCACTACTGAATTGGAAGGAAAGATTTTGTTATTGATGCTTGGTTGGAACCTTGCTATGTTCCCATAGAATCTTTCATATATCTGAGAAACTGACTGTGATTTGTCATAAATGTTCAAGGTAATAGGCATGCAGACGTCCCTTTTATTGTTTATTTTACTTGATAGAGATGAATACATGCATATTTAGATACAGCTTTTTAATATTTTTAAGTATTACCATTTTGAGACAAAGTTTTACTACGTTTGAACATGAAAACCACATACTTGTATTGCAGTTTACTTAGGAGCAAGTAAATATTTTATAACACTAAAATAATTGGTATTAGTAAAATACTCAGATACACATTTTTCACTAGGTATATTAAATACAACAGAGGTGAATTTATGGAACCTGAAAAATTTTACAGTTAGCTCTTTAGAGTTTACTTCAAGCAAAGAAATAATGCATTATTGTACTAAAAAATAGAGTGAAATAACTAACCAAAGGAAAGTGTTCCAGTGAAATAAGTTCTGTAAGAGGAGAGGTACTGTGGTGTTGTAAACAGTATTGTGTTTACTTCACTTACTGTATCCTTTCCTTGGTGTTACACATATAACATCATGACATAAATGAGAAAAACCATAGAAAAAATTTTAAGTTTTTTTAGTTTCTTTCAAACTATTTTTTTAATGCAGACAGTAATGTGAGGAGATTCTAAGCTGTAAAAGTGATGTTTGATGTGTAACAGTTTCATACATATTAAGCATTAACTATTGTGAATAAAACATGCCATTTCAAAATAAAATGTACCTTCATTATGCTTGTCCAAATATGACCTCTTTTTGTTGTTGCGTGCATTTCAGATTTCTTTTTATAAATGTTAACACTTAGAAAAAGATAAGGTCAAACATAACAAGGGTGTCAGCCTAATCATCAGTCATAACTTTATGTCCACATTTTCTGGTAGATGGATTTTGACTATTAATTTGGTTTTGTATGTTTTCTCTATGTGATATTTGTGCATTATTAGATGACTAGACTGGCCAAGGCAGACCTGTTACACTTGCCTGAGTTAGGCATTGTTTGCCATGCCACTAAACCTGCCGTCAAGTGAAACCTTCATTGGGGAAATGAGATCGGAGTCTGAACCGCAGAAGATGGACGCCCTGTCTCTGTTTTTTATTGTTTTACTTTAATTTCATTTCTTTTTCTTTATTTTGTCCCTTTTTTTGTTTTTGTTTTTGTTTTTGTTTTGTTAAATCTCTTTCACTTTAACTTGTGAGCTGGGTTTCCAGTTCATTGTAAATGGTATTCCATTAAGGGTTCATAACGTGTTGCAAATTGTATTTGGAGATGATTAGCAGAGCTCAACCTTAAGATAAAATAAATTTTCATGCAGTAAATTAGGATACAGTGTGAAGCTCAGTGTGAGTCATAATTGGTTTATAGACTGATCAGGTACATTTTGATCTTGAAACATTAAAAGACTATAAGAGTCTTAGGACTGCTTTCTGATCCCAATTCAACATTTTTGTAGATTTTTTCAAGTCTACATTTCTTATAAAAACCAGCTTGATAGATTCTAATTTTCATCCTTCCCCCTGAAATTTTAGGCATACAAAATCATCAAGGAAAATAAGGAACTTTTTAATAACAGTCTGGGATTAGGGGAGAAGAGCCTTTCACTTTTATGGTAGTTATTCATTATGGAACTTATTTCCTTGACTTACAGATACTTTTTGTTGCCTGTGTGGGGAATGGATATTTGAGAAACTGTTGATTATTTGAGTGTATGTTTTTGTTTGCTTGAATTTTTTTGTTGGTAATTCTTCAGAGGTTACTAGCTTCTAAATGGGTTCAGAGATTAGGACTAATACTTTAATATGACGAGAAATGTTTTCCTCTCAGTTGCCTCTGAGGAGTATAGTTTGGGAAAATACTAAATGCTTCTTTGTTTAAACTTTTATATACTCTGTATTTGGAGGGTAAATTTGATAGAGTTCTATCTTGGAAAATAAGCATGGAACTTTTTCTTAAAGAATCTTTAATGATAATAAGACAAAAATGTTGTTCTTAAAATTAGAATTATAGATTTATAGTAGTTTATTACTATCATGAAAGGGAAGTCTGACAACCTGCTGATAATTTTATTTAAGCCAGAAATGAAAGACTTCATAATACTAAGTAATCAGCTTTTGGCCTGTGTTGAATACCCTTTTTGTTTTCTGCACTGTCTTCGATGAGTAGTTTTGCTTATTAATTGACATGTAATATTAAATTTGGAACATTACTAAATTGGAATTCATTTGTTTATTAGGTGCATATATTAGGGTAGTGATACACAGGTTTTCCACCTCAGAACCTTGATTGATTTATCTAGTGTGTTCAGGTTTTACAAACCTTTTTTAAAAATACCTATTTTTAACAAACAGGTGTGATAGCAATATAAATAGTATAGTATATATGTGGGTATACATAAATACATGTGTTAATACTAATAACTAATACATATAAAGTAGATTATTGATATTTGGTGTTTCAATAAGGCCTACCTACCTTTGTTTATCTTTATGCATGTTAAGAAATGTTTTCCAGAATTTACATTGAAATAAAAAATAACTTTGTTTTTTAAATTAGTAAATTAAAGTAATATAAGCTTAGATGCTGCAAAGTTAGAAAATAGTAGGCATTTGCTAAAGCAAATAAAATGTAATTTTTATTCTGTTCCTATAAATAAGGCATAGCCAGTACTTAAAGCAAGTTCAAATTCCATTTTGAATTTCATCCATGTCTAGCAATATATTCAGATAATATTGTTTAGAGATTATCTCTGCACATCTGGTGGTTTTAAACAATTTTAACTACTAAAACCAATCATGGTGCGTGTGAAAATTGAGTGTATATGCTATATTTTAGCTTAGCATGATTTTTATACACTGTGTCATTTAAAACACTTTTGAACAGTTCATAATGGAAATGCATTGCCAGCTATCACATGAGTAGTTCTAAATATATCCACATGTAGTCAACTATTTAAGAAGTTTTTTTTTTTTTTGCCTAAGAGGATAAGAAAAAATGTGTAAAAGTTTTAGTCCTTATCAAAATTTACTTATTAGAAGTCAGCAATTAAATGTGACAAATCATACTTATTTCAGAGTAAGTTTTTTTTATTTTTTAGGTTGTAAGGATTTTTTTCTTCTCAGTTTTTTTTTAATTTTTTTTTTTTAGTGTTATTAGATTGTTTCAGTGTTATTGTTATTAGGCAGTTAAAATGTTTATAAGCAAGACTTTTAGGCCTTAACCACTCCTCTTCAGATAAGTATACATAAATTGACTCTAAAAGTTAATATTTTAAGGATGTTTCCTGAGACTACGGAACTTTTTGTTGTTGTTGTTATTCTGAAAAATTATTAGCAATTTCCTAAGGTTTATTTTTTGGAACTGAATTTTTTTAGGCATCTCTTAATGTTGGTGAGATGTTTATTAAATGAATGGATGTAGGCCTCTTTTTAAATTGAATCTGATTACATGAAGTAGGTTTTTGTTTTCTTCTATTTGAAATTGAATGGAGAGTTATTGAAATTGTTTGCAACAAGTGTAGGTAGTTTCAGAAACAGGATAGGAGCACTCATTAAGGAACAAATTTCAATTCGCACATATTTGTTTTTTCTTTTTCTTTTTTTTGACTAATTTGGTTATTTGCCATTTCTGGGGATTAAACTTTAAAAAATGTTCTTCTTTTCTGTATCTGATGTTCTGTGTGCTATTAGTGATGCAGCCAACACGAACGGTTGTCATGTGTAACACAACTTTCGATCACCGCGAAAACACCGTCCTGGGAAAGCGTCCATGCTTGATATCGTTTGGTTCATGAACATTAAGTTTCCAGTACAGGTGACCCATAGCTCAAAGTGTTAAATAATTGTCTACATTATTCAATTTTTAAAATAATATTCCATTAATGAGATTGTTAATCTTTGAAGTTTTGCTCACTTTTATTTTTCCTAGTAGAGCAGGATAAAAGGAAAGACTTAAGTTCTTATTTATTTTTTTGTATGGATCTCATAGATAGATTCATTTATTATTATTATTTTTTAAGTGCAAGGGTAATTGTAAAATCATAGTGTAAAGTTTGTGTGGTGTTTCTGCTTTCTGTGATGTTTGGAACTTGCCTCTGCAGGTAAAATCCCAGAGGAATCCAAAGCCCTTTCTTTATTGGCTCCTGCTCCAACCATGACTAGTCTGATGCCTGGTGCAGGATTGCTTCCCATACCAACCCCAAATCCCTTGACGACAGTAAGTACTGTAAGTCCTCTTATGAAAGCGGTGTACGTTCAGCTGTGTTGTCGGTTGAAAAAAAGAGCGTCGAGAGTTAATCAGTAGACAATATATAACAAATTAGGGTGTCTTCAAGCAGAAACACATGAAATAAGGTTATGTATTTATCAGTTGATGAAAATCATGTGGCCAGAGGCTCAGTATTCAATAATTCATTGTTCATGGGAACTTTATAGAATAAGGAGAATTAACTGTCTGTTTTTAGTATCAAGTTCGAAAGTTGTCAAAATATTCAGGCAGTTGAGAAATACATTTCTAGTTATATTTAAGACTAATATGACCTTATTCTCTTAATAATTCAGACATATACATGGCTTAAAGTTAGGATTCACTGGTTTCCTTCTGTTGTTGAGTTGGTCAGTTCTTTTCAAGATTAAGAATGGTAATTTTGGATATTAATAGAAAATATATGCTGTGTTTTTTTCTTCAATAGCTTGGTGTTTCACTTAGCAGTTTGGGAGCTATACCAGCAGCAGCACTAGACCCCAACGTTTCGACACTTGGAGAGATACCACAGCCACCACTTATGGGAAATGTGGATCCTTCTAAAATTGATGAAATTAGAAGAACGGTCTACGTTGGAAATTTGAATTCCCAGGTAACTAATTTAAGAAGAAACTGAGTGACAGTAGCTTTTATTTTTTTTCCTCTTAAAAATCATTCAGTCGATAAAGCAATATTTATCTGATTTTTCAAAAGAATATGCTTTATTAAACTATCACTTTATTTTCTCAGACAACGACAGCTGACCAACTACTTGAATTTTTTAAACAAGTTGGAGAAGTGAAGTTTGTGCGGATGGCAGGTGATGAGACTCAGCCAACTCGGTTTGCTTTTGTGGAATTTGCAGACCAAAATTCTGTACCAAGGGCCCTTGCTTTTAATGGAGTTATGTTTGGAGACAGGCCACTGAAGTAAGAAATTCTAAACAAAGAAATTTTAATGATTTTGAAAAAATTTAAAGTATTTTTGATATAATTAAGGCTTTTTTTTTTCTTTCTAATAGTAATTGGCAATTTGTGGAAAGGAAGACTGTGTTAAGTATAAGTAAAATACATGAGATGCTTATCATTTTAGCCTTTAAATTCCTGTATTTAAAGACATTTGTTTTCTCATTTTGCATTTTTATGAGGTCTAATTCAATGTTGACATTATTAATATACCCTACATAGTGGTCCTAGATCTCTTCTTTAGCTTTAGCAGATCAGGTTGGTTTTGCATTATGACTGCAGACTAATGGGCAGCCTAACCTGTGGGTTGAACGGCAGTCCGTCTGCTAGTAGGAACGTTGGTAAATTCGAAATCTAGTGAAGAAAATGGCATGAAGTATGCAGAAATGTTTTAAACCAAACATTTTGACTTTGAAGGTTTGCTTACATCCTTTTTTGCCAAAAAAATCGATGTAACCTTTTGTATAACTCAAGACCAGCAATTCCATTTTATGCAGATTATTGAGGCAAATGTAGTTTTGTTTGAATTTGATAGACTGCCTTAGTTATACAGTGTGATCAGGATTTTGTGGTTAAAGGATAAATGCCTGCTCTTCGGGTGTGCGTGTCTTCTCAGTGTGTAAGGGGTGAAGTGGGACACGTCAGATTCATTTAGTGCATCAGAGAAGTAAGTCTCAGCTAGTGGCGGAAGAGTTTTGTCAGGTCCCTCCCACATTTGAAGCTGTGTCTGACTCAGCCGTCGCCAGGGTTGATTAAAACGGTATACGTGATATAAAGCTTTCCCTTCTTTCTCTCAGAGTATGCAGGTGATCAACAAAATCTTATCTAAAAATAGAAATGATTCATTTTAATATTGTGTCAACATTCTGATTTTTTGTAATTCTAAGCTGTGTGGAAAAGCACTTGCTCTGGCCCATTTGAGTTGTTAATGAAGTCAGCTAGGGTTCAGTTCTTTTTCTTGGCTTTTGTCTTTCTTAACAAAATATTGGGAGGTGAGAATGAGAACTTCATTATGGTTTTGAGGCTGCTTTTTGGTTTTTCTGTATTTAGCTATGTCATTCTTAAGTGTGCTCCTCAGATTTATGTGTATTATATAAACATTTAATTGTTTCGTGCTTTATAAATATGGTGTGTATTTGTGATATGCTAATATTTTTAATTTAGAATAAATCACTCCAACAATGCAATAGTAAAACCCCCTGAGATGACACCTCAGGCTGCAGCTAAGGAGTTAGAAGAAGTAATGAAGCGAGTACGAGAAGCTCAGTCATTTATCTCAGCAGCTATTGAACCAGGTAAGGCCATATGTTGTTACATAGGCCATAGTTTAAAGGTCATATAATCATAGAACTCGAAGGAATTTTAGAAATTATCTTGTACAGTCCCTTCATTTTACAAACAAGAAGACTGAAACTCAAGAAATAGTAAGTGGCTTATTTATGTCATAGAGCAACTTGGCACAAATCTTATCTTTTCCCATGATACTGAGTTAAGGCGTATTAGCCTGAGTTAATCAGCTTTTCATATGTTAAATGCAAATCAGTGTTCAAAACTAATTTGCTGAAAGCAAAATACAAATGTTCTAGTGAGACTCAAAAAAAAAGTAAATACGTTTAAACATGATTCAGTAAGTTTACTTTCCCTCAAAGTTTTATTTTAAAAATAGAGAGGAGAGCCCATGATTTAGAAAAAAATACAGATACCCTGTTTTAGCAAGATAAAGGAATATGTTCAAACTTTTGTGTTGCTAACTAAAATGATTTTAAAATCCAACCTAAAAACATATAGGTGGTTTAACATTTGAACAGATTTTCTAAATTAGCATACAGAATTTAAGTTTCAACTTCAGCAGAATAAATGGAGAAAGGACTTAAAAATCACTGTCGTAGGAATTACAGACATGTTATAATCTTACATTATGGCAGCAACAAAATATTACGAACAGCTGTTTATAATCATCTGATTTATATGTACTGCTGCAGGATGGCTGCACTCAACGAGTTTATGCAATGACTTTCTTGGATGTTTCTGAAGGATAATTGCACAGGAGGAGGATGTACAGAGAGTAGGCCCCTTGCACTATATGTGGTACATTCCACTTGTGCCTAATATTTAACTGGGATTTTTAATTGTTCTGAGCTTACACTGCAAAGTGGTTTTTTCCTCCCAGAGTCTGGAAAGAGCAATGAAAGAAAAGGCGGTCGATCTCGTTCCCACACTCGCTCAAAATCCAGGTCTAGCTCAAAATCCCATTCTAGAAGGAAAAGATCACAGTCAAAACACAGGTAAGTGTTTCCGCTTTCCTGTTAAATTTGTTTTTAGTTTTATATTTAAAAGTTATTTTTTATGAGCGTTTGTCAAAACATCAGAATTTAGAAATTTCTGTAGTATTCACTGGGAAGTGTTATTACCATTAAATATTGCTTTAATCATAATACTGTAGTTAAGAATGAGGTTTTGTCTAGTGTTAATATTTCAACTAATTTTTAGTTTTAGATGTTGCTTTTCTTTCTAAAGATACTGTATTCCTGATTTTTCAAAGAGTAAATTAGTCAAGTTACAGAAACTGTCATTCTTCATGTTGAGAAAAGTAAACATATTTAGTGACTTGGCTGAAAATATTGCTCAAGTTGTAGCTTTTTTATTTTCTTTTCCTAGTTTAATCCAGGTCTGGGGAGCATCACCCCAGATCTTGGTTTAAAGCATTTTTCTATCTCCAGTGTCTGTGTCCTTGGTACTCCTGGTAATAATAGAGCCTCCACTGCCCTCTTTTGGAACTGAAACACAGAAGTAACTTGCCATTTCAAGTGTTGAACTCTGCTTAAGCTCTGTTTCTGTTCTGTTTACCTTATTTTTGATCATAGCTGTGTCATTTTGATTTTCTTTATCTGTCACTTCTTTGTGTTTGGTGCAAAGGGGACTTTAAGATGTAAACTTGCAACACCATTTAATAGGAAGCACCCTAAAAATCATGTCTGAAATTATAAATTTTATTGTCTTTAAGGTATAGAAGCAGCTGTGGTTGAAATGTGAAAGTATATTTAGTGGATCCTAATTGTATGTTATGTATACACACGTACTTATGTCTTTAGAGAGGAGGGATGGAAGAGTGTATGTGCATGTGCATGTGCATGAATGTGTACAGGTTGTGGGGGGTACAGGAGCAGGAGGAAGGTTTTGGGGAGGGAAAAAATGCTTTATATTGAATTTCACTAGCATGCTCAGTTTAACTTGTTTTCCGTGATGATCAAGGAGTTTCAAAGAATGAGGCAGGAAAACAGGATGTTCTTTCTTTGATTCTAGAAAACTGTACTTCTATCTATACTTGTGTATGCTTCTCTGTTATTCTTAGTTTGCAAATGTCTTTTGGAATATGGTTTTACTGTCTCTATTCAAGGTCTTACGGTAAGGCACGTTCAGAACCAAGTGGAGGAATTCTTTGCCAAGAATAGGACAGGAGAGCAGAAACCAGAACTGGAGAAGGAAAGTGGAACAGAAGCAGCAGTGGTTCTAGACTATGGATATGTCCATATATTGACAGGATGTGGGTGGGGTAGAGGAGATTGAGGAAAAAAATTGGGCTGAGGAGTAGTAACTCTTTTCTGAGGAAAAAAGACCAGTGACCTGAATGGCATTTTGTGTTGATTGTAGGAGAACACTAAGGCTGGAAAACAAAACAAAACAAAACAAAACTTGATGTAATAAGGTCATTGCTTTCTTTAATAATCTATGTGAAGCTTTATATGCTTTTTGAAGTTGTGGCAAATCATTTAACTGCTATAAGGTTTTGTTTTCATTTTAAGTATATTTGGATATTTTCCTTTGCCAAGGGTTAGTGGGGGAGGGGTAATTTAGTCTAAATTGAAGTTTGTCGGTTACTGTTCTTATTCATGGGAGTAATTTCATGTAGCTGTGTCTATGAAGCATCAGAAGTTGCTAGCTCTTAGCATACATGTATATTTTTTTGTCGTTATATTCTATTTTTATACATATGGAAGTACATGTCACCTTGAGTAAGCTGATAAACAAATAAAAGAGAATGAATTCCTTTTAAAGGAGAAAAATAAAACCCTTACCTGCAACCATTTGACTTAAGGACCGGGTGCAGTGACTCATGCCTATAATCCCAGCACTTTGCGGGGAAGGATTACTGCAGCCCAGGAGTTTGAGATCAGCCTTGGCAATATAGCAAGACTTCGTCTCTGCAAACAAACAAACAAACAAACAAACAAATGTAAAACCCGGGTGTGATGCACGCCTGTAGTCTCAGCTTATTCAGACAGAGGTGAAAGGATCACTTGAGCCCCGGAGGTCAAGGCTGTGGTGAGCTGTGATGGTGACACTGCACTCCATCCTGGGCAACAGAGTGAGATTCCATCTCAAAAAAAAAAAAAAGAAAAGAAAGGAAACCCACACACGTTGAACTTAAGGATCTTGACTGGAAAGGGCCCTCCCCCACAACTCCCAGGAGTCAGAGAGAGGATGACAGACCTCTCTTGCCTTTTCCTCCTCTGCTTGTGGGAGTTGATGTCCTCCTCGGGTCTTGCTCTGACTTACTAGACTTTGCAGGAGAGTAGGTTGCAGGAACTCTTTGCAGGGTCCACCTTGTACCTTTTCACCATGTTTCTATACCTCTAGAGCTGTGCTTCCCACCTCCCAGCCCCTCCTCCCACCATTCCCTATTCTTACCTTCTTAGGGTCAGAGGGAGGAAAGGGTTTCTTGTCACTGTGACCTTGGCTGGGGGTGGGGCGGTGGGAGGTGGAGATGCGTTTCCATTTTGTCCAAGTTTTGATACATGTTGTATTCATAGAGACAGTGTTAAAATGTTAGAAGAGGTAAGTAGTACTATAATATTTTTAAGTTAAGCAAACTTTACAGACCAGCCATAGGAACTATAAGACATTTTATAATGTTTTAATGGAAACAACTCATTTACAAATGAACTTTGCTGCAACATAATGGTAAGTTGCTGTTTATTTGCAGTTTAATTTAAAAATATGATTTTGCATTTTTCAGAATGAGAATATAATTTCTCATTAAAATATGAGAACTACTAGTGATAAATCACCATCTTTGGTTGGATTAGATCTGCTCTTGACTCTTTAGCATTCATAATCAGGAAACTAGTGGGTGAAAATATTTAATGTTTAAATTAAAATATACTTCATTTTGGGCACTTTCAAAATCTCAGGATCTATAGGGTAAAGTGGGAAGCCAAGTGATCAGTGCTTTTTTATTATTAAGTTATTTGGATTATACTTAATTTTTAAAAAAGTTTATTTGCTTAATGAAGGTCGGAAAGCACTGCTTTGAGGAAATCAAAAGACTTAATTATTTTTTGGCAAGGATATCTAGAACAGAAATCCTATATTCAGACTATTAATTAAGTATATAGAAGTGAAGTTTCTTTAAAAGTTTTTCTTTTTTTTGAGTTGGAGTCTCACTCTGTCACCCAGGCTGGAGTGCCCTGGCACTCTCATGGTCACTCCAACACCTGTTGGGCTTTGGTGATCCTTCTATCTCAGCCTTCCAAGTAGCCGGAACTACAGGCATACTACCATGCCTGGCTAATTTTCTACTTATTGTAGAAACGAGGTCTCACCAAGTTGCCCAGGCTGGTGAGACTTCTCGCCTTGGCCTCCCAAAGTCCTGAGATTATAGGCTGAGCTACCAAACCTGGCCTTTTAAAAGATTATTCTTTGTGACTATCTTTAAATGAACTAATAATTTTCTAAGTTTTGCAGTTTTGCCTTAACATCTACTTGACCTTCATGTTTCTTAAGTCACTAGTAATACAGATTTCAACAAACCATGAATTACCTTCTTGTATTAAAAATGTGGTATATACAGCTGAATGAGGATTTTTTAAAAATGTGGTGTGAAGACAAGTATATTATGTTTAAAGCCATATAACAGAACAGATGAGTAGTTTAGGTGAGAATTAGCTGTTGGAAAACATTTTAACTAACTGAAAAATGTGTTTAAAAAGCAAGATTTCATTAATAATGAGGAGTGTCTAGAGATTTTTCTGGTTTCATAGCATACCACAATCATAGTCATTTAACTATATGTATTTCTTTTATAGATATTTGCCCTAACTTAATTTATTAAAACATGACTATCAGAATGAGTTTTAGTTATATAAAGCATCTTGTAGAAGTTCTTTGATCTCCTTGGAATACATAAAGATACAATTTGAAGTTTACAATTGTGTTTTGGGGGGGAGTTTTTTTTTTTTTTTTGAGTTGGAAATCTCACTCTGTTGACCAGGCTGCAGTGCAGGGGTACTATCGTGGCTCACCACATCCTCCGTCTCCTGGGCCCAGACTATCCTTCCTCCTCAGCCTCCTAAGTAGCTGGGACTACAGGCACATACTACCTTGCTTGGCTCAATTAAAAAAAAAAATTTTTTTTTTTTGTAGAGATAAGTCTTGTTATGTTTCCTAGGTTGGTCTTGAATTCCTGGGCTCAAGCAGTCCTCCCACTTTGGCCTCCCGGAGTGCTGGGATTATAGGCATGAACCACTGCGCTTGGCCTGTGTTAATTTTTAATGATGATCTTGAGAATTAAGAGTCTTGAGCATTTACTCTGTGACAGAGACTGCTAGGCAGCTTTACTTGCATCATCAGATATGATCTTCTTGACAGACTTAGGAGATGTAGGTATGATTTTTACTTCACTTTGTAGATGCAGAGAAACTCAGGCTTAGAGAGGTCTAGTCAGAGTCCTCACTAAGTGTATGGCAGATGACTTTCAGAGCCAGATTGTCAGACTCTAAAGCTGGTGAGTCTTATCATTTTGCTAGTTTAAGTTGTTTGCATCCATTTTGCTATATTTTAATAAATAGTTCCTAGGATCTCTTATTATGAAAAACATCACATTATTAAAAGTTACTTCATCGGAAAAAGGGACCTAGTCAAAATTGGAATAACAACTTTTTTCCTGCAAGAATTCCAGTAATACAAGTTTTTAAATTTCTTTTTATTCATTTAATTCTATTGGTTTGTTTTTAAGAGATGGTGTCTCACTCTGTTGCCCAGGCTAGCGTGCAATGGTGCAATCATAGCTCCATTGCAACTTCAAACTCCCAGGCTCACGACATCCTTCTGCCTAAGCTTCCCAAGTAACTGGGACTACAGGTGCATACCACTGTGCCTGGCTAATTTTTAAAAAATATTTTTAGTGATGAGGTCTCGCTATGTTGCCCAGGCTGGTCTTGAAATCCTGGGTTTAAGTGATCATCCTGCCTCAGCCTCCTGAGTCACTGGGATTATAGGCATGAGCCCAGCAGTTTTCTTGTTATGCAGGTTGAGCCTCCTAAATCTGAAGTCTTAAGGTGCTCCAAAATCTGTAACTTTTTGAGCACTGACATGGTGTTCAAAGGAAATGCTCGTTGGTGCGTTTCAGATTATGGATTTTTGGATTTGGGAAGCTCAGCTAGTAAATATATATAATACAAATATTCCAGAATACAAAAAAATTAAAATCTCGAAACACTTTTGGTCCCTAGAATTCAGATAAGGATATTCAACCTGTAGCTATGCTTATATTTACAGCTATAAAATCAAGGCATTGTAAATCCAATATATCTAGTTTTAATTTATAAGTAATGTTTTTTTTCCTGTCACACTGGCGCTGTTGTGTTAGTACTGTGCTTCCCTTACATATTCTTTGTATGTTATTGTGACATATAGCCCATAGCCATTTATAGGAACTATTGAGCCATATAACCACTACTCCCTGTCCAGGTAAGTTATTACCAGATGACATGTAAGTCAAGAGTTAAAAACAATTGTTGGCCAGGCACGGTGGCTCAAACCTGTAATCCCAGCACTTTGGGAGGCCAAGGTGAGGGGCTTGCCTGAACCCACAGGTTTGAGAACAGCCTGGGCAACTTGGTGAGACCTCATCTCTACAATAAAAATTAAAAAATTAGCCAGGTGTGATAGTGCATGCCTGTAGTTCCAGCTACTTGGAAGGCTGAGGCAGAAGAATCTCCTGAGCCCAGCAGGTTGACACCGGGTTGGCCATGAGCGTGCCACTGCACTCCAGCCTGGGCGACGGAGTGAGACTTCAACTCAAAAAAATAAAACAAAACAATTTTTGGTATAAAAACTTGGACCATGGGAAAAATCTTCTAATTGGAGGCATAAGATGATTAGCAAAAGAAAACCACACCTGAAAATATCAACTTAAGTCTAACATAGGAAATAACTTAAATCATTTCTGTTTCTGACTCTGTATTCTAGACAATGAAATATCTGGTAAAGTTCCTAATAAATATATATATTTCAGATAACCTAACAAAAGCATTATGTAAGAGAACATTTGGAAATATTGATAAATACTGTTAGAACAAATTTTTTAATTTCCCTCTTTAGAAGACATCTTAAATTTTTAAAAGTTGAAATTCTAAGGGTAAGTTTTAATATTCTAACAATTTGTTTTTCTTTAGGAGTAGATCCCATAATAGATCACGTTCACGACAGAAAGATAGACGTAGATCTAAGAGCCCACATAAAAAACGCTCTAAATCAAGGGAGAGACGGAAGTCAAGGAGTCGTTCACGTTCACGGTGAGTTTTAGAGAAATTAAAGATAATTTTTATTGACTTTATTTGTTAAAAAGCTGTTGTGGATTAGGGTGTTAATGAGGGAAATAAAGCTTTTTTTGTCTGATTGTTGTAGTAATCTAGGATTAATATTGACTTCCACTGGTTTGAATCTGATGTCAGTGTGATTCATGTGGTTTCCAAACTGCTCAGTTCCGCTTGGTAATTGCTTCATTTAGCAGCTTCTTGTGCACCTGAGCTGTATACAAATTTATATCTGTTACCTATGGCTGTTATAAATTGTTTTTGTTGGTAATTGTTGAGAAAAGAGAGAGATATCCTTTGGGGGATAGAGTATTTTAGTTATAAATTTATTTATTTTTGTTTGTTTTTAAAGGGACAAGAGAAAAGACACTCGAGAAAAAATCAAGGAAAAGGAAAGAGTGAAAGAGAAAGATAGAGAAAAGGAAAGGGAAAAAGACAGAGAGAGGGAAAAGGAACGTGAAAAAGAAAAGGAACGGGGTAAAAACAAAGATAAAGACCGGGACAAAGAACGGGAGAAGGACCGGGACAAAGACAAGGAAAAGGACAGAGAGAGAGAGCGGGAAAAAGACCATGAAAAGGAGCGAGACAAAGATAAGGAAAAGGAACAAGACAAAGAGAAGGAACGAGAGAAGGACAGATCCAGAGAAATAGATGAAAAAAGAAAGAAGGATAAAAAATCCAGAACACCACCCAGGAGTTATAACGCATCAAGAAGATCTCGTAGTTCCAGCAGGTTTGCTCATGTTTAAAGGTTTTAATCAAGGTGTTTACTCATGAAAAATGAGAACATAAATTTTTAACAGAAGGGGGAAAGATTATTCTATGCAAGTGGAACGAGTACAGTAATAACAGAACATTTCCCCCAATTGTGGAGTTAACATTTCTCTAGCAGAGAGATTGCCACAGTGTTGAACCTATGTGGAGGAAGAGATGATAATGGGCAACATTATTTGACAAATTTTAGCTATCCGTTGTCACCTGTTATTTTAATATAGTAATAATAATTGTTATTTTCTTGAAGGGTGGGATGGCGGGGGAAATTTTTTTTAAGTATAGAATTGACCTCAGGCGTCTATTTTTTGAAATGATGTGGTAAATTTTAATATGCAAAATGATTCCTGAGGTTGAAATGTTAGTTCTTTTTGTCATCTAAGTTAATTTTTACCTCTGTTTTGTTGAGTGCGTAACATTTAAATTTTGGTTCTCTTTTTAGATTTTTTTGGTAGGATTGTTCACTCAATTTATTAATAGGTACACTGCCACCAGGTGGCAGCAGGTTGCCATAGTAACAACTGCAAAATGAGATCTTTGAGATTTGAGATTCTCTAAACCCCACATCCCTTACCTCAGATGATGCCATGGCTATAAATAAATAGAAGTTTGTAACTTGTATCAAATTATCACTTAAAAACATTAAATATATATATTAGGAAGTTTTAAAGATATTTTAGAGATGGAAAATAATTTGAGATAAAGGAATGTATGTGTCCAATTTTTTTTTTTTTTTTTTTGAGTTGGAGTTTCACTCCGTCACCCAGACTGGAGTGTAGTGGCCGCTCCTGGCCACCACAGCCTCGCCTGCTGGGCTCCGGCGATCCTTCCGCCTCAGCTTTCTGAGTAGCCGGAATTACAAGTGCGCGCTACCACGCCCGGCTGAGTTTTGATTTGTGGTAGAGATGAGGTCTTGCCAAGTTGCCCAGGCGGGTCTCGAACCCACGGGCTTATCAATCCACTCACCTCAGCCAAAGGCGTGGGATTACAGGCTGAGCCACTGAGCCCGGCTGTGTCCTGTTTTTTTTAGACTTGTGTTATAATGTTTTTTTTTTTTTTTTTTAATACTAGCCTTTGACTAGGTAATAAAAGATAATTGCAGGCATTTATTGGGTTATTTATATGTACCAGATATGTCTCAGCAGACTTTTTCATGTCTTAACCTTATACCAGGCCTGTGAAAGACTGTTATCATCACTGTTTCAAAACATTAGGAAACTGAATTTTGGGGGAAATTATCGTTACTGTCTTGTCTTCTTTTAAGAGATTAAGATTGAGGATTCTCTAATCAGTACTTGGTACCTGCTTTTCAAAACTGCCCGCATAAAGTTGACAGCAGTAATAGCTTATGTTTAGTGTATGACTAAAATTGAAATCTAAGTCTAACCAACTCCAGTTGTTCAAGATAAGCATATCACTGCCGGATTTTCAGCACATTGAATAAAAAATTGGAATAATTAATTTACCTTCATTTAACTTCCTTTGCTGTGGATATTAGTTGAGTCTTGTAACTACACCTTTACTGCGAAGTGATTTTACTGATTGTGTGTCCCACATGTCTTTGTGTTTATGTAATCATTCAGACATTATCCTTCATGATCCCAAATAATGTTTTGATTCCTTTTTAATAACTTGAATTTACCTTTTCTGACGACTTTAAAATGTTTAATTTTTTTCATGGGCCATTTTAAGCTGCTTGGTGTATAGGAAAGTTGAAGTGTTCACATTCATTCATTCTTGAATATTAGTCTTAAATAAACTCTGGGGCCCAGAGAATAAAAGATGACTGACATTAGTTCTTAAAGGTTCAGTAACTTGGAATATTTTGTGTTTTCAGAAGAGCTTGTTTGTAAAGAGTTGCAATTTCTCATCTTTCAGGATTTTTCTGCTTTTCAGATGCTCTGATTTGTTTACTAAATGGGAAATATTTTAACTGCTTAGGAAAATAGTGTGCTTAATATTTTTATTTCAACATTGTCTCATAATCTCTAGATTTAAAGAGAATTTTGATAATTCAAAATTTTTTAATGCTTAAAAGTTACTATCAGTAATGGTGAGACCAAGAGAGAAAAGAAAATAATGTTTATTTAGCACCAACTCTGTACCAGATTCTATGCATGACTCTTTACAGGTATTATCCTAAACCCTCTTAACAGTCCTATAAGGGCTGAGTTATCAATGATTTCCATTTCCCAGTTGAGAAAACAGACTCAGGTTAAATAGTATGACCCCAGTTGCTCAGCTAAGTAGAGTGTATAACTGAAATTGAAATCTTAAGTCTAACCAACTCCAGTTCATTTATCATTTATAGCTTCTTTCTCAAGTACTGAACCATCTAGATTGTTCTTTCTCCAGCCTTAGCATTCATTCTCATCAGCTACTTGTTATTAGAAATCTGCTTATACATATTACTTTCTGAATCAACAACTTAAAAGAATTACGTTGATCAAGGCAGAGATGTTTTGTATAAACCTGAAGTCTGGAATATAGACATTCTTCATGCATGAAAAAAGCATTTTCAATTCTTGAGCTGTTACAGAATGGCATTGATTGAATGAAATGTCATTTTCTAATTTCCATATTAGTTAGGAAGTATAATTTTGGAATGTCTTGTAAGTAAAACTGGATCATGGAAGAGAAAGCCTTAGGTAAAGCTGGAATTGATTTATTTGTGTTCTCAAAATTCTTGAGTGTTTTTTTCCCCCAACCTCTGTCTTTTAATTAAAATGCATTTACTATAAATTCCATATAGTTGAGTTTTGTTTTTTTATCAGGTCTGAGTCTCTGCTTTTTAGTTGCTGTGTTTAGCTCATTTATATTTAACGTAACTATTAATTTAGCTGGTTTTAAGTCTTATATCTTGCCATTTTCTTTCTGTTATTTCCCTCTGTCCTTTGTTCCTTTATTATTCTTTACCTGTCTTCTTTTGGATTAATTGGATAGTTTTAGTTTTACGTTTTATCTTGAGCTTTTTTGGTCTTAGAGCATCTACCATGTGTACCGCATATAATAATTTTTTAACTTTAAACATGAAAAATTTAGATAAAATGTTTTGTTAGTCTCTTAGAATTGGTATACTGAGATGATAAGAGAATTGGAATTCTAGAGGATTTGGTTCTTTTAGCTATGTGGTCACTGATTATCAGAGCTTCTTGTAAGATAGCTCATTGGCTACATTAATCACTTAATAAATATAAACCTCAAACCTCACCCCCTAAATTATATAGTGAAATGCATTGTTTCTAAGTTGGCCACCTTTACAAGTAAAATAATTTAGAATATGCATAATTTACCAATATGTTGAGCAAAATGGTTTTTAATAACACTGTTAATCTGTTTTATAATTATTTCTTTGTCATATTTAAGTCCCAGATTTTAACTATTTTGCTTATATCTAAGCAACTTGTGTACCTAATTTTAAATTAATAGAACAATAATAATGAAATGGTGGGAAGTGGGAGGGAAAAGCAATTTCTCTGTAAAATGACACTAATGTAAATGCTTTTTTAGGGACATGTCAAATAAGTGGGTCTAGAAAGTTCACATTTTACAAACCAGTTTTATCTTTCCGGTCCTGAAAGAGCCTGTTACTTTGTTATAAAAATAATTCCGCAGCAAGGAACTAGATGCATGACAAAGAATCTGATTAGCAAAACATGTTTTAGCTGCTGGGAAAGAACATAGGAGAAACTGAAATATCATTAATTTTTTTTACTCAAGAAGTTATTGTTCAGATAAGCCAGATGAAAAGGAAGTCCTCTGCCCTTTCTAATTTGAGATCTTAGCTGATGTTTTTATCAGTCTATAAAATTTAGGATTTATAACTTGGCCTACCCTAAAATTAGGTGGTAGAACATGTTCATCAAGGACATGAGTTGAGACTGGCCTCTAAAGAATATTATTCACTTGAGGTTATCAAGGACCCTATTGCTTTTGTACATTTGAAATGCTCTTTATTTCCGTTGCTGTTTTTTTTTAATGACATATTTTTGGCTTTCAGGGAAAGGCGCAGAAGAAGGAGCAGGAGTTCTTCCAGATCACCAAGAACATCAAAAACTGTGAAAAGGAAGTCGTCTAGATCTCCATCCCCTAGGAGGTGGGTTAAAAGCATATAATAATTTTTTAACTTTAAACATGAAAAATTTAGGTAAAATGTTTTGTTAGTCTCTTAGAATTGGTATACTGAGATGATAAGAGAATTGGAATTCTAGAGGATTTGGTTCTTTTAGCTATGTGGTCACTGATTATCAGAGCTGGTCTGGGTGGGCCAGCACTTTGGGAGGCCATGGCAAGTGGATTACCCTAGCCCGTGGGTACAAGACCAGCCCGGGCAGCTTGGCGAGACCTTGTCTCTACAATAAATAAAAAATTAGCTGGGCGTGGTTCCAGCTACTTGGAAGGATCGCTGGAGCCCAGCAGGGTGGCTGTGAGTGTGCCATTGCACTCCAACCTGGGCAACACAGTGAGACTTCAACCCAAAAGAAAAAAGAAAGGAAAGAAAGCATTTGTTTCTTCTCTGTTTTACTCAGAACGAGCTTCTTGAAATTAATGCATGTTGCAATATATTTCTGAAGTGCATTCCATTATATTACTAAGTAATAGTCTACAGCATGTATTTATTACAGTGTGGTTTAGTTTTTAAGCTTAAATCAATTTCATATTGATTCATATGGTTGTATGGTGCAGTTACTCTATGTGCTCTGTTTTCTTCATATAACTATCCAGCTGTCCTAAGTATTCATTCTCCGGGGGCATGGACACTTTTTTCAGGTTTAGGGTATTAATAATTGAGCAACTATTCACATTTTATGGGGAGTATTTTTATTTATGTAAAAGTGGTATTGCTTTGTCATATGATATGTATATGGTTAGCTTTGTAGGAAACTGACAGACTGTTTTTCATAGTGCTTGTGACATTTTACATACTCACTTAAAGTGTTCTGGTTGTTCTGTGTCTTCCTTAACTTTCAGTTATCTAGTAGATGTGGAGTAATATCTAACTTGATTTAATTTGCAACTACTTAATGGCAAATGACTTTAAGGACTCTCATGTGTATATTGGTCGCTCATATTTTCTCTGTGAAGTGCCTGTTTAAATCATTCCCCCAGTCATAATATGGTTGTTATCTTTTTAATGTTGAGGAATAATTGTTTTTTACTACCCTAAGTACTGGTGTTTTTTGTCAACTGTGTTTTGTAAAAATTTTCTCCTTACTTATTTATTGCCTATTCATTTTTAGCAATTTTTTTATAAGTAGAACTTTAATAAAGTTAAATTTTAATAAAGCAAAAAAAAAGCATGTGCTAAAACTAAGGAGGAAGCAAAAAATATAAAAACTATGAAAAAGTATTTTTAGTCTATTTTTTACTTTATAATTTGAATGTGCAATACATTTACATTGTTCAGAAGTTATATGAAAAGTTACACATAAAGAAGTCTTAACTTCTACTCATGTACCATCTACTCTGTCCCCATAAGTAATGACTCTATCAGTATTTTGTATACCCTTCCAGTTTTCTATACAGATATCGGTTGGGAGTACATCATTTTTTTTCTGATATAAAGACACAACTACACACTTTAGTGTACTTGTTTTTATCACTTAACTACCAGGAGTGATCTTTCCATATCAGAGAGAGCTTCTTCATTTCTATTTATAACTACTTGGTCTTCCATTGTATGACAGTGCTTGGTTTATTTGACTAGCCTGCAGTAGAATGAGATTTTTGTGTTTTCCTACTATAAATTATATAATTTTTTTTTTTTTTTTGAGTTAAAGCTTTCACTCTGTCACCCAGCCTGGAGTGCCGTGACATGCTCATAACCACTGCAGCCATGACCTGCTGGCCTCAAACTATCCTTCTGCCTCAGTCTTCCAAGCAGCTTGAGCTATAAGCTTGCACCACCACGCCCAGTTGGTCTTGAATCCCTAGACTCAGGCAGTCCTCTCACCTTGGCCTCCCAAAGTACTGGGATTGCAGGCTTGAGCTACTGTGCCCAGCCCAAAATTATGTAATTCTATAATGAACAGCTTTGGGGTTACATTGTTTTGTAGTATGCAGATGTGTAGGAAAAATGTTCAGAAACAGCCCTTTAGGCTAGGGGATAAATATGTTTGTAATTTTGAGAGGGCTGGCAGCAATTGGCATTCTGACCAGCTACTGTGATGGTGTCTTTATCCTTACAACCACAACAGTTGTTATTGAGGTTACAGATTTTTGTCCATTTGATAGGTGAGAAATGATATCATCCGTAGAATTTACATTTTTCTTCTTATTAGTCAAAGTGACTACCTCTTCATACATTTGGAGGCCATTTGTAGTTCCTTTTCTGTGAACTGCATTCTTTGCCCATTTTTTTGTTAGGCCTATTACCACCCCCTTTTGTAATTTCAGGGACACCTTTTGTATTAGGGAGTTTACTTGTTAGGGCTGTGGTTGCAAATGCCATTTTCAGTTTATCATTTTTTTAAAATGCTGTTGATTTTTTTTTAATAACTTAATTTCTCAATTTTTTTGTGTGACCGTACACATTTTGAGTAAAAAAAAATTAGGCCTTTTGTATTCCAAGATTATAATAGAAATCCTCCAGTGTTTCTTCTTGTACTTTAATGGCTTTATTTTTTGCAGTTAAATCTTTGAATTTTTATTACTATGTACAACATGGCATGTGGATCAAATTTCATTTTACAAATGCTTGCCCATTATTCCAGTACCATTTATCAAAAACTCAGTTTTTCAAACATGAATTTGATACTTGACTTTTTCTGTATTTATTTGAGTCTATTTCTGGGTTTTTCAGTGCTATTGGATTGGCTTTACTAACCATTTGTCAGTGACTCATACTCTCCTAATATATTGAGACTGTACTTTTAAATATCTCTACTATATTTTTAAATGTCTTATAAGACTTATCCTCTCCCACACCCCTCATTGCTCTTTCTTTGAGCTTTTCTGACCATTCTTATGTGTTTATTTTTCCATTTGAACATAAGAGTCAGTTGTCTAGGTTCTAGAAATAAGACTTATTGATATTTGTATTACAGTTGTGTTAAGTTTTTAAATTAACTTAGGGGAAATTGATAAACAGATTTATTAATAAAATATTCATGTTCTGAATCTTTCTGTCTAGGAACATGGCGTATCTCTCTCTATGTCCAGGCCATCCTAGTCTTTTTCAAGAATGTTTCGATGTTTCATATAGGTTTTATGACTCTCCTAAGTTTATCCCCAGGTATTTTTGTTGTTGTTGCTTTTGTAAATGAGGTCTTTCATTGTGTTCTTTAATTGGAGGTTATGTTTGTATATAGGAAAGTTACTGATTTCTGTATATTTATTTTTTAATCTTACTGCCTTTCTGATTAGTCATAGTGTTTTTAGTTGATTTTCTGGTATAAAAAAGAGAAATTTATTTTTAAAAAAAGTTTTGCCAGAGGATAAGCAACATGTTTTCCAGCATTGAGTGGGAGGGGAGCAGGACGTTCTTGTTTGTTTGCTGATGGGTTTTTGTTTTTTGTGAGAGTAATGGAAGGCATAGGATACTATAGAGTTAAGCTATATTTGTGTTTTTGAAACAAAGACTTTACTCAGGAAAGTAAAAACTCTTATGAACTCAAACGAGGCAAAAAGACATTCAGAAATTGTCATTCTTCATCCTTTCTACTTTGTTCTCATTCACCCTCTGTAAGTGATCAGTCATTTGTTTTATCATTCCTGTTTCTCTTTCAAAATTAAGTACATAACTATTTTCTAATTTCTCTTTTCTTCACAGAAGACAGCATACTCTTGTGTGTGTATACGTGTGTGATCAAGGACTATACCCAGCCCCACCAAATTTTTTTAAAAACATATAATTCACATACTGTATAATTTTCTCTTTAAGATGTGCAAATGAGTGGTCCTTAGTTTTTTCAGTGTTGTGCAACCATCACTACTATTTAATTCCAAAACATTCTTCATCACCTCAAAAAAAAAGCCTGTACCCCATTAGCAGATACCTCACCCCCTCTCCCATATTTTCCTCCCTCCAGCCCCTGACAGTCACTAATCTACTTACTGTCTCTGTGGACTCATATGATTATGTGGTCTCTTATATCTGACTTCTTTCAGTTTGCATAGTGTTTTCAAGGTTTATCCACATCGTGGCATGAGTCAGTATATCATTCCTTCTTACAGGTGAATACTACTTCACTGTATGGGTAAAACTGTTTTATTTATCCATTTATTAGTTGATGGACATTTAATATTTCACTTTTTTTGGCTATTATGAATTATACTCTTAAAATTCATGTACTACAGGTTTTTATGTGTGGATATGTGTTTTCATTTATTTCTCTTATATATATACCTAGGAGCGGTAATTGCTGGGTTATAGAGTAACTCTCTGCTTAACTTTTTGAGAAACTGCCAAACTGTTTTCCAAAATGTGCACCATTTTACATCCCACCAGCATTGTGTGTTAGTTTCAGTTTTTCCACATCCACACCAACACTTGTTATTGTCTGTTTCTTTGATTGTAGCCATTTCTGGGTGTGAAGTGGTATCTTGTGGTTTTGGTATGCATTTCTTTAACAATTAGTGATGTGGAGCATCTTTTCATAAGCTTTTTGGCCATTCTGTTGAGAAATATCTGTTCAAGTACTTTGCCCGTTTTGAATTGGGTTGTTTGTTTTTTTGTTAAGTTGCACGAGTTCTTTCTATGTTCTGGATATTAATCCCTTACCAGATGAGTTGGGCATATTTTTTCTTATTTTTGTGGGTTGTCTTTTCACTCTCTTGATAGTATCTTCAGTACACAAAATTCTAATTTTGATGAAGTCCATTTTATGTGTTTTTTTTACTTGTTTGTCTTGGTGTCATATCCATCTCTAATGTGAAAAATGTCCACTATGTTTTCTTCTAAGAGTTAATATGTATAACTAGCTGTTATACATATTAACAATGCATTATTTTAGATACCCTGTGTTAGATAAAGATGTTTTGTCAAGAATATACTAGGTCTTTAGTTTCTTAGAAGTTAACTTGACAAATCAATATTCTCAACAGCAGAAATAAGAAGGATAAAAAGAGAGAAAAAGAAAGGGATCACATCAGTGAAAGAAGAGAGAGAGAACGTTCAACCTCCACAAGAAAGAGTTCTAATGACAGAGATGGGAAGGAGAAGTTGGAGAAGAACAGCACTTCACTTAAAGTAAGCAGCAGTTGTTCCATGTCTTGACATTTGAGATGGTTCTTTATTGATTAGAAATAGTTTTTGACTAAAAGCTTCTTGTGGGTAGCAGTGTCTTATACACTGTTGGTATTTTAAAATACTTGCTAAATTGGTAACTTTTTAAAATGGAATTTTGAAGAGATGAGAACCATTTTAGAGATTCACAAAATGGCATGTAATAACAGTTCTTGAGATCTACAGATAATGGATGTATTTACTTTTATACCGATCAGATTTCTGCTGGGCACAGTGGCTCACGCCTGTGGGAGGCTGAGGTGGAAGGATTGCTTGAGCCCAGGAGTTTAAGACCAACCTGAGAAACATAGTGAGACCTCATCTCTACAAAAATGAAAACAAATTAGTTAAAAAAAAAAAGCATGGTGGCATGTGCCTATAGTCCCAGCTACTGGGGAGGCTTAGGTGGAAGGATTCCCTAAGCCCAGGTGGTTGAGTCTGCGGTAAGGCATGATTGTGCTGCTGCACTCCAACCTGGGCAGCAGAGTGAGATTCTGTCCTTAAAAAAAAAAAAGATTTCTACTTGATGCCATTATCTCAACATACGTTTTAGCAAATTTGAAAAGATTTCCTCATTACTGGTTTTGGGATATGTAGTTAAAGTTAGGTTTGTTGAACTGGAACACTTAATGGCAAACCAAACCCCATCAAGTAAGCTTTTTCTTGGAAAAATATTTCAAGTAGTCCCTTATTATATTGGTAAAGTATATTTGTATTTGGAAACTAATTATGAGTTCTGGAACCTTCATCTTATGATTTTATTATTACTCTTGTATTGATAGAGGTTCATCCTCATTGTTGACAGCACTGATAACATTTATTGAGTATTTACTATCTGCTAGGCACCATTCATTTTCATTTAATTCTCCATTAACCTGAGGGCAGGGTTTGGAGTGTTCTTGAACGGTCTTTCCTAGGAAGATTAGTGACTTTTTTGTATTTCCTTATTTCTGCTTCTTTGGTATCTACATATTGGAAACGGTTTCACTCTTTGAACAGGTCTATCCCACTTTTTCAAGTCTGTCAGCAACATTTATTGAGTGCTTCTTTAGAATTGCTGTTCACTTGTTTTATCTAATTTACTTTCCATGGATTGTCCTTTTATGAGAATGCAAAGGGTAAATTGGTAGTATTTGCATATTCTTAATATGAAAAAGCAGTGGGAAAAAATACCTGGTTGTATTAATTCACAGATGATAAACACATATTTTAGGAAGCTCGTTAGGAAAATATTAAATGTCTGCCAAAATTATTTATTGTAGGAGAAGGAGCACAATAAAGAACCAGATTCAAGCGTGAGCAAAGAAGTAGATGACAAGGATGCACCAAGGACTGAGGAAAACAAAGTGCAACAAAATGGGAATTGTCAGCCCAATGAAGAAAACCTCTCTACCAAAACAGAAGCAGTATAGGACTGACAAATGCACCTCTACACTCAATGCTGGAATCAAATCCAAAGGTTTTAATTCTCTCAACAAGATGTAAACAGGGAAGAAATCTAGTTGAGCATAAAGATCGGATCTAACAGCTTTTCCAGTTGTTAGGTGACTTTGTGGCCATCTTGTTACTGAGTAAGAAAATAAAGCATGGACATTATGAAAATAACAGATGTTACCCAAACTCATCTTCTAAAATCTGTGCATTTCCATGGTGGCTGACACACTTGTCATGTGGTTTGTTAGTGTTTGCCAAGATCCATTGCAAAGAAATTGAACATCAAAGATCCAAATTTGTTATCCCTGAAGACTGGAGATAAGCATTGGAGGCTCTTTTAAAAAATGCTAGTTACTGAATTTTGTATTGTTTTACTTTTTTTTTTTTAAGTTCAGTATATACAGTTTGATGATGTGCTTGAAATTGGTGCAAATATATACACACCCTTGTAAGTGCAAAGTATGTAAGAAGTTTTAACATTTACTTCACAGGATTTACAGTGATTGTGTTGAATTCCCACTATTGTGTTTTCTTTTGCTCACTGTTTAGGACACCAGTTTTTTTAAAAAATAGTTTTGCAGATTAAAATTGCTTAAATAAGTGAATTAAAAAACAACTGACAATGCATGCTACTGTTCTCTTTCAAAAGGAAGAGCAACTGTGTTGAATACTAATAATAATGTATTAGTATTCAGTGTTTAGAATCATTGGGTCTACCCACAAAGTGAACATTTCCTTTTGAACTTTCTTGACATTTCCAAACTTATTATTAATAATATTGCAGTGTGTCTTGTCAGCTGTAGGTGGCAAAGATGCCCTTATAAAAAGGAAACTAGGTTTTCAAAATGGGCTATGGGAGCACAAGCTGAAGCTTTAGTGCCTTCTACAATGTGGTATACTGTTTTCTAGAATTTTATATGTGCTTGTCATTCTCAATTCACATGGAATCCAGATGAATATTTCATTCATACCCACAGAGAGGTGTGCAAGTGGTATGTCAGAAGAGCTTCTTTACTTATTTCATCTAATATAAGAAGGAAGTCCTGTTTTCAAGAATGACTTTAGAGTCGTGCAGTTTTGGGACCATCAGTTTTATACTGTGATAATTGAAGATGAAACATGTTCTTATTTTTCTTAAATCAAAGGAACTGTTTAGTTGTCTACATTGGATGGCCTTAATTATTACCTCAATCATCTTCTTATAGATGATATGAAGTCATTATACTTAAAGGGATGACTAGGCGTATACAGGATGTTATTTGTTTTATGTTTAAGGATACGTTTATTTGAGTTTAAGATATAGGTCATCCATCATTTAGGCTCATATTTTGCAGAAAGTATGCAGATAGTAAATGACAATAAAAAATACTGCTAATGTTTTTCCCCAAAACTGTAATTCATAATTTCTGAACTCGTTATATTTTCAAAAAAGGTAACACCTTTTAATTAGTATGTTATTAAAAAATCAAGTATTTTAATGCAGTCTAATACAATCAAATTACTCAGTTGCCTTACCTCATGGGAAGAGTTACTTTTATAGATTTAAAAAGCTGAGTAGCACATGCGTTACTTGGTTTCAACTTGAGTTTTCTTTTAATGTTAATACTATTGAAACCTAAGTATTTGGTGGGGAATGGAAAGAGTTGCCCTTATTGCAAGTAATGAAGCCTGATTTGATTATGAAGCTGCTTAATCACTTTTCATGTGTTCAGAATTACTGTGTTTTTGTTTTTTCCCTTTTTGTCACTGTGTACATTAAAATTTTGGAAAATGCTTTACTATGTAAAGTATAGATGGTCATTTAGTCATTCAGCCACATATGGTTGACTGGTAAACAGCTTGTTCTGATACAAGAATGCTTGGGTGCACATGGGAAGATTGTGGAAGAGTGTGTGTCTTGCATCAGCAGCTGTCTTATTTATGATATGTAAGTAGACTAGAGCAAATGTTTGAATCTTTGTTATTTTTAGTACCATTTATCTAATAAAGCTAAGTATTTTAGAGGAAAATACTTGTTTATGGCATTTCCAAAAACCATTTTAGGTTATCCTCTTGTTTTGGTGGGCATAGAGAACATTTTGACATGGAGAATGTTTGTGTGGTGTCTATAAAACAGTCGTTGAAAGTTTGAGTGATTTTTGTACTATAGACTCTATTATGTATTTTTTATGTTGGTAATAACATTTAATTTGGTTCCTGCTGCTAATTATTTTTCTTGCTGATATTTATTCAGCTTTAAAATAACTATATTAATCTCAAAAGACTGTTGTAAAAGCTTAGAATGAGTAGGAATACAAGAGATCTGGAGAAAGAGAAGTCAGATCATTATGTGGGATTTGACCTTTTCTCACATAGGCTTATGGAATCAAAGCTTTCTAGAGTCTGCAGAGGGTGTGTGCATGGGTGTGTCTGTATGAGACATTTTTTCTTCTCACTTATAAGAGTTCATATGTTTCCATTTGTTTATTACTTTCTTTCAAGTTATTTTGTTTTTTTCATCCCAGGTAAATGTTGTCAGGAAAACTTGAGGTAAGGCCAAGAAGACAGCCGTTTTACACTTGATATCTTCATATATTTTTTTAGCTTGATTTTACAGAAAGTTTACTCTTTCTTAAATTGTAGTTGCTATTTATCATTCTGGACAAATTCTGTTGTATTCTTATTCTGCTTTTTAGCAATGCACACTGAACTGGTAACTTAAGATGGTTCTTCATAAGCTAGCCAGTTTTGCATCAAGTTCTAAATCCTTAACTTTTGCAAATTCTATCTAATCCAGTTAGCTTATAATTGCAAACACTAGTCAGCTTGTGATCTTCCCTGTGTTTAGAATTCTTTTTTTGGAAAAGATTCAGCATCTGCTATGTTGATCTTCAGAGGTGTCAGAGACTTACATTTTGACATGTTCAATTAAAAATAAGAAGTGGCATTTATAATCAAAAGGATTTTCTGTCAGGAAAATTTCTTTTGTGATAGTAATCGTTTTCAGTCATTACTGTGTATATGTTGCTATCTTTATTCTAATCTTAAAATAAGAAAAAAACCTGATCCAAACCTCCTCCTTTTTAAATTTAAGGATTGTAATATACAGTAATAGGCTTTTTAAAAGTTTTTTTAATCTATTAGAAAAATGAAGAGTATGATTTGATATAATAATGATCTTTAGTCATTAACTTAACAGTTAAAATGAATCCTTTTGGAGGGATGCATTGAATGACCTAACATTTAAGTGAGTCTTTTCATTGAAAGATAGTATCTGGTTTTAACTGGTAGATTATGAGGTAGATCCATTCCCAGAAAGTAAGCGTGCAGTGACCCTGTTTCTTTATGTTTAAGTTTTTTTATTCCCACTACATATTTACTTAATATTTTCTCATGTTTTTTGCTAATGTGAATTTTACTTAAATTCAAATTGTTTATTTTCAAATTTAAAAGCTAGTGCTCTTAAAAGGGCTAAATTATATTGCTGAATGGAGGAGTCTGGTAAATATGTAATAAAACTTTAAAATAAAATTAACTCCCCTACTTAACCTTGGGTTTGTGAGTTTGTTTATAGTACACTTGGCAGTTTTGCTTAAAAGGTGGTATGTTATTTCAAAAATAAAAGCTAAGGCCATTTATGATTTTTGGTCCATATTCAGTTAGTTGGATTTTGTAGCTAATAACTAGCTCTCTTTCTATTCCGTTCTAAGGTACTTTTATAGTTTCTATCAATTAGTTTGCTACAGTTTTTAGTTTATATCAGATACAACATTTCTTCATATCATGTTTTTAAAAGTAGATTTTTAGTCTGTTGCCTGATTTTTAAATTTGTATCTAGCTAACATCTTAATTTTGAAAATTGCCAACTTTTGGGACACTTTGCATATTTTACCTCTAAATGTTATTTTTCCAGGATTGGTAGGAGTTGCATTTCCTTCTATTGATTAGCTTTTGTTAGATAATTTTTAAATTATAGGTGTAAGTTTAAATTTATGAAAATCATACAGTAAGAAGAGATTGATTTTGACTAGTTTAAGGGCACAGGTAGGCAACACATGGTTGGGAGCTAACGAGTTTCTCATTTCCACAAGATTAAATTTGAAATATGAGTCTACTGTGTAGCTGTATAGATAAATTAATGATTCAGTAATTACCCCCTGAATCTTGATTAGTTAAGTAAAACAGTGCTATGGATTCTTAAGGGAAGAGTTTTAAATGTAAACATAAACATGCTGCATAGGTTGTGTATATTTGTGAGTAGGACCACTTTTAAATGGTACTGGTAAAGACTTATCAAATGATACTGCTATTATGTTGCTATATTTTTAATAAAATGAAAATCTTAAAATCTTGCCACTGTTGAGTAGTAATTTCACCTATTTCTGGGACATTAGTTTGCATATTTACAGCTTATTTTTATAGCTGAAAGGTGGTAATAGGCCCTTCCAGGGTTCAAAATTACTGCTAAAATTGAAAGTTTTGTATGTCAGGCAATCTTTTTTTTTTTTTTTTTGAGTTAGAGTCTCACTCTGTCACCCAGGCTGGAGTGCAGTGGCACACACACAGCCATCCCAGGTCAACCTGCTGGGCTCCAGTGATCCTTCAACATCAGCAGCCTTCCAAGTAGCTGAAACTATAGGCATGCTACCACGCCCGGCTAATTTTAGATTTTTTTGGTAAAGACGAGGTCTCACCAAGTTGCCGGGGCTGGTCTCAAACCCATGGGCTCAGGCAAACCACTCGCCTCTGCCTCCCAAAGTGCTGGGATTACAGGCTGAGCCACTGAGCCCAGCCAAAATAATCATTTTGAAGTGTTGTCTTCTCTTATTCTACACGACAGTGAACCACTTCTCGAATGGATTGTGACGTGTGACGAAAAGTGGATTTTATACAACCGGCAATGACCAGCTTAGTGGTTGAACCGAGAAGAAGCTCTTCACTTCCCAAAGCCAAACTTGCACGAAAAAAGGGTCATGGTCACTGTTGTCTGCTGCTGGTCTGATCCACTACAGCTTTCTGAATCCTGGTGAAACCAGTACATCTGAGAAGTATGCTCAGCAAATCAGTGAACTACAGCAAAAACTGTAATGCCTGCAGCCCACATTGATCAATTCTTCACCACCACAACACCCGACTGCAAGTCACAACCAATGCTACCAAATTTTGCTTCACCAACCAACTACCACTTCTTGAAGCTTCTTGACAACTTTTTGCAGGGAAAACGCTTCCACAACCAGCAGGATGCAGAAAATGCTTTCCAAGAGTTCATTGAATCCCGAATCATGGATGTTTTTTGCCACAGGAATAAACAAACATTTCTTGTTAGCAGAAATGTGTTGATTGTAATGGTTCCTATTTTGATTCATAAAGATGTATTCCACACCCTTATGGAAGTTGGAACTGGTATCCAAATCCTGAGCAAAACCCGAAACGCACGGGCCATAAGAGATAAGATAGACAAGTGGGACCTCATTAAACTGACAAGCTTCTACAAAGCCAAAAAAACCATCAAGAGAGCAGGGAGACAGCCCACAGACAGGGAAAAAGTATTTGCCAACTCCATATCTGACAAAGGCCTAACATCTAGGATCTGCAAGGAACTCAAATGTGCTGAGAAGAAAAAAAAACAAACCCCATTACAAAGTAGGCAAAAGACATGAACAGACACTTCTCAAAAGAAGACTTAACGAGCAGCCAACAGATACATGAAAAAATGTTCAACCTCACTAGTCATCAAGGAGATGCAAATTAAAACTACACTGAGATGCCACCTAACTCCAGTCAGAATGGCCATTATCAATAACAAAAAATAATGGATACTGGAGAGAATGTGGTGAAAAGGGAACACTTCTACACTGTTGGTGGGAGTGTAAACTGGTATAGCCTCTGTGGAAATCAGTGTGATTCCTAAAAGCTCTAAAAATCGACCTTCCATATGACCCCGCAATCCCTACTGGGAATATGCCCTGAAGAACTCAAATCATTCTATAAAAAAGATACCTGCATGTGTATGTTTATCACAGCATTGTTCACAATAGCAAGATTATGGAACCAACCATGCTATCCATCAAAGAGGACTGGATTTTTAAGAAATGTGGTACATACACACAATGGAATATTACACAGCCATAAAAAAGAACAAAATCATGAATTTTGCAGCAACCTGAATGGAATTAGAATTTATAATACTGAGTGATCTCTCACAGAAACAAAGATCTGAGCATCACATGTTCTCATTCATAAGTGGACCTTGAACAGCTACCGTAATACTATAAGAAAAGAATTGACAGTGGCAGGAAACTATGGCGGGGGGGCAGGGAGGGGAAGGGAGGTGGGATTAACGGTAGTCAATATCTGTTTGGGGATGGGGGGCACACCTCATCAACAAGGGTTCCGCACAATGCATATTTGTATACCTAACCCTTAACTGTACCCCACACTTTTAAAATAAAAAATATGTTAAAAAAATGAAAAAAAAGATGTATTCAAGCCTAGTTATAATGATTTAAAATTCATGGTCTGAAACGGCAATTACTTTTGCACCAACCTAATGCACTACCATGAGTAAAATGCTATCAACATTGCATGCTACGGAGACGTTTCTGTGTTTGTGAAAGGAAGGAGTCAAACAATGCAGCAAACTTCATTGTTTATTTAATAGCATTACCACAGCCACGTCAACCTTCACCAATCACCACACTGATCAGTCAGCAGCCATGAAAGCTAAGCAAGACCCTCTACCACGGTAGAGATCATGACCTGCTGAAGTCTTAGATGATGATGATTTTTTAACATAAAGCATTTTTATGTATGTACGTTGTGGTTTTAGTCGTAATGGTATTCTATACACGATGGACTATAGTGTAGTGTAAACATAACTTTTATTATATGCATTGAGAAACCAAAAAGATTATGTGGCTTGCTTTATTGCAATTTTCGCTTTGTAGCAGCCTGAGACCTAACCTACAGTATAGCCAAGGTATGTCTACAATTTCTGTCTTGACCTCACCTTCAATCACATTTGCCAAGTCTTCCCAATTCTGCATTTCCTCTGCAATATCTTGTGTGCCTTTGTATCAGTCATGATTTTAGTTACATAAAACAATCCCTGTAGCAGAAAGGTAAGCATAGTATTAGACTTACGTCTACCTTTTAGTCTACTTCTGTAAACAACAGATTTTAAAATTCATTTCAGCAAATGTTGCTGCTTGATTAAACTTCTTTAAAGAGTTCTGTAGTTTTTCCTTTAATGTCATTCTGGTTTTGGTATAAGTTTCACGCTAGCTTAATAGAATGAGTTGGAAAGACATCCCTCTTCAATTTTCTGAAGGAATTTGTATTAAATTCTTAGAATTCCTCAATAATGCCAACTGGAGACCAGAACATCCTTCTGGCATTACAAATTTAATATTAAAAGTAGATTGGCCGGGTGCGGTGCGCAAGCCTGTAATCCCAGCACTTTGGGAGGCTGAGGCAAGAGGATTGCCTGATCCCAGGGGTTCAAGACCAGCTTGGGCAACTTGGTGAAATCTCATCTCTACAATAAATGAAAAAATTACCTGGGTGTGGTAGCGCACCTGTAGTTCTGGCTACCTGGAAGACTGAGGTGGAAGAATCGCCTGAGCCCAGCAGGTCGACGCTGGGGTGGCCATGAGTGTACTACTGCACTCCAATCTGGGCAACAGAGTGAGACACCGACTCAAAAAAAAAAAAAAAAAGTATATTTAGGGCTATTGATATTTTTCTTAGATTTTTGTTTTGTTTAGTGTTAGGGGTGTAGCTATGTGGCCCAGGCTGGTCTTTGTTCTCCTGAGATCAAGGGGTTCTCCTGTCTCAGCCTTCTGAGTAGCTGGGACTGCATGCACACACTTCTGAGCCCAGCTATTGTTTGTTTATTCTTTAATGAGCTTTGATGTTGTTGTGTCTTTAAAGGAATTTGTCTATTTGATATAAGTTGTTAACTTTATTGGCATGAAGTAGTTTGTGACATTTCCTTATTTTAATGTTTGTAGGAGCTATAGTGATGTCATCTCTCATTCTTAATATTGTTATCTTGTGTCTTTCACTCTTTATATCCTGCTCAATCAAGCTAGGTTTATCAGTTTTCTCAAATAATCAGGTTTTGCTTTCATCAATTTTTCTTTTTGTTTCACTGATCTCTGCTCTTTATTTTTTCTTTTCTTCTGTTTCTTTTGGATTTAGTTTGCGCTATTTTCCTAATTTAAGGTGTGAGTTGGAGTCATTGACTTCAGACCTTTCTTTTAGTGTTATAAAACTTCCTCTAAGCACTGCCTTAGAGGCATCCCAACAAATTTTGCTATGCTGTATCTTTATTTTCATTCAGTTCAAAATGCTTCATAATTTTCCCTTAGGTTTTGTCTCTGACCCATGGGTTATTTAAATGTGTGCTATTTGGTGTCCAAATATTTTGGAATTTCCAAAGATCTTTCTGTTACTGATTTCTAAATTCTATGGTGGTTAGGAAGTATAGTATGATTTGATTATTTTTAAATTTTCTGAGACTTGTTTGATGGCCCACAAGTATTCCACTTTGATGGGTGTTTTGTGTGCACTTGAAAAGAATATGTTGTTTACTGTTGTTGAGTGGTGTAACCTATGCCAATTATGTCATGTTGCTTGATAGTGGTGTTTAAGTCTTCTAGGTTCTTACTGATTTTCTGTCTGCTTTTTCTATCAATTAAAAGTCTTGAAATGTTCTAGATTGTGTATTTATTTCTCCTTTTAGTTAATTTTATTTATTTTTTTAGACATGGTCTTGCTCTGTTGCCTGAACTGGAGTACAATGGTGCAATCATAGCTTACTGTGGCTTCAAATTTCTGAACTCAAATGATCCTCCTACCTCAGCTTGCTGAGTAGTTGGAACCACAGGTGCATGCCACCACACCTGACTAATTAAAGAAAAAAGGTTTTTAGAGATGGGAATATTGCTATCTTGCTCAGGCTGGTCTCTAACTCCTGGTCTCAAGTGATCCTCCTACCTCAGCCTCTTGAGTAACTGAGATGACAGACATGAACCACTGCTCCCAGGTTAGTTCTGTTTTTACTGTATGTATTTTGAAGCTCTGTTATTAGGTTCATAAATGTTTAGGATTGTTATGTCTTTATATTAAATTTGCCCTTTAATCATTATTGAATTACACTTTTTGGGTGCTATTCTTCATTTAAAAAGCATTGGAATGTTTAGACTGGTTACATTGAATGTGATTATTGATGTCATTGGGTTTAAATCTACCATCTTGCTATTTGTCCTCTATTTATCTCTTCTGTTTTGTTCTCTTTTTCTTCTTTATCTGCATTCTTTTGAACTAATTGAAGTTCCATTTTAT